AGCCTGCACTGAGCTCTGCCTCTCCTTCCCCAGGTGGCTGACGCAGAAGGGTGCCCGGCAGAAGAAAATCAACGAGTGGTTGGGCATCAAGAACGAGACGGAGGAGTGAGTGTCCCTGCGTGCACGTCGTGGGATGTGGGGGGCTGTGGGAGCGTGGGCTGCGCAGCCGGTTCCGCCTGCTCTGGGGCCACGGGCAGGTCCCATCTCCTTGCCTGGGAGCTGAGGACGCCTTCAGGGTGGGGGTGAAGGCAGCTAGCAGTGGGAGGGGAGATGTGGGGGCCACGTGCCCAAACCGAGGGAGCCTGACCCTGCCTGTGCTCAATTGCAGCCAGTACTCCATGATGGATGACGAGGAGGAGCTGCCCCACCACGAGGAGCGGACATGGTACGTGGGGAAGATCAACCGCTTGCAGGCAGAAGAGATGCTGTGCGGCAAGCGGGACGGCACCTTCCTGATCCGCGAGAGCAGCCAGAAGGGATGCTACGCCTGCTCCGTGGTGTGAGTATCCCCAAGCAGACGTGGCGGGATGGAACTGGCGTGGGCTGTGCTCCTGCATCGCTCTGCCCTTCTCTCGCCAGATGCTGGAGGCTGGCGGAGGCGTCAGCTGGAAGGCTGGGCTTCCCCGAGGTCTCCCGTCTGCCTCGGCTCCTCCTGCCAGGGCGAGATGTATCTTTGGGCTGCTGCGGTGACGCCCGCTTGTGCTCTGCTGTCCCTGTTTCAGCAGGGCTCCCTGGCGTTCCACTGATCTGTGCTCCCTTGTCTCCCTGGCAGGGTGGACGGTGACACCAAGCACTGCGTGATCTACAAAACGGCGACCGGCTACGGGTTCGCTGAACCCTACAACCTCTACGCCTCCCTCAAGGACCTGGTCTTGCACTACAAGCACACATCCCTGGTGCAGCACAATGACTCCCTGAACGTCACGCTGGCTCACCCGGTCCTTTCCCAGCCGCCAGCCAGATGAGCAGCCCATGCACAACACAACAGCTGCCTTCAGCTTCTCCCCAGGGCGCTGCTTTCTGGCTCTGGACTCTTGCACCCTGTATAGTTGAGTCTCTGTGCTCCTGCCCCTCCAGAGCCTCTGAGATGTCTGTGACCGTTCCTGGTGTCCCTTTTGGTCAGTAGCTGAAACCCGTGTTGGCTGATGGGACAAAAAGGCTGGGCTGTTGACTCCCGGTGGGCTCCAGCCTCTAGGAGGTGGGGTCCAGTTGTGATTGAATCGCTGTGGGTGAGCACAGCCCCCTCCCCTTCCCCAATAAGCAGGTCAGATCCCTTTCTTGTTGGCAGGTCGCCCCACTACGCATCACTGTAGAGCTAGATTCCCGATTCCTTGGTGCGCTACGGCAGCGGTCGCTGCCCCGGCTGAGTGGTCGCGAGTGCTGCTCTGAGTGAGGGGCTCCCTGCCCAGATGCCACAGGAGGCAGAGGAGGAGGCTCGGTTGAGCATGTGCATCCTCCGCTCTCACTTCCCTCGGTGATCTTGCGGGCTGCGGTGATGTCTGGTACGAGGGGTGCTGCTCTTCCATGCAGAGACTCGTTTAGAAAGGAGAAACCCCATCCTCCGTGCAGCTTCTCGGCCGAGGTCTCCGCTCCGCTCCGTGCCGTGCCCCACCTCACCGTCTTGTTCCCTGGTGTCATAACCACCTCTTGAGTGTTGCTGTCTGGGGAGGGAGGATCCGGTTAGCGATTAATCTCTCACCTTCGTTGTGCCAACTAAGCTGTGAAATCCGTGTTGGTACCCGTGTTTTCCCCGACAGAATCTGTGGAACGCACAGCTCGTTGTTTCCGGCTGTCTTTGGTGAATCTCTGCAAACATAACCCGTTGAAGCTAACTGTAGCTCTGTAAATATGGTTCTTTTCGTAATCGGCTGCTTACCTAGTACTGGTGTTTGCTGAACTCCCACTACGATGTGCAAGCGCGTGGGCAGCAGCTGGCCAGGCTGTTGCAGACTCGGGTCCTGCCGGCTGAAGCAGGAGGGGGCCGGAGTCCGATGCACACTACGAGCCCTACGCAAAATGAAGGACCTCTCTGCTGCAGGAGGACGGTATCTCCGCTGAGCCAAGGGCCTTAGCGCATAGAAATGTATATGCATGACGTCGAACTATGTATGCAAAGCACTTATAATCATGAGTACTGTATGGGGACTTGGGGTGAAAGGGCTGGGGGTTGCTGCAGTGCTGCCCATCGTAGCTGGCTGGCGCAGGCAGGGATTTGTTTGAGTTCAGAGGGCTCGAGGGCAACGGAGGTGGCGCTAGAAGAGCTTTAAAAGCTGAACCCGGGCTGAGAGTTGAGGCCGTGGTGGTATTTGCTTTATTGGGTTGTCCTGTCTGCCTGGCTTGAAGAAAGCATTAATCGTCCTCTTGATTTGCCGGAGAGGCTTTCCCTTTTGGAGGCCGTGTCCTCGGGACGGGCTGGTAGATGCTGTAGGCTTTGCCGCTTCTGCTTTGTGTTGCGACTTGGGCTGCGCCGGACCCGCAGGGTGCTGCGTGCTCGTGCTCTGCCTGCATGCTGTCCTCGACACGCCGTCTGCATCTTTGGGTCTGGGATTGATGGACTAAACGTCCCATTCCTGTTGCTTGTGGCAGCTCTCCTACGCTCGACTGTACAGACCCCGTTCCCTGCTCCGCGTGCCCTCTCTGGCCCCTGGGCCGTGTTTTTTGCTTCCTCTGGTTTGTCGGTGTTTGGTGCTGTGAGGATGTGGGACAGCAGTGCTGTCCCTGACCTGTGGCAGCTCGGGCGTGCGCTTGGATGCCAAAGCGCCACAGAAGGGGCAGGCGATGGGCTGGGGGGGCCACAGGGCGCACAGCCCAGGAGAGGCTGCGTTTGGCTTTGGGGATCACTTGGGAAAAGCTGTCAGGGATAATTAAGGGAATAGTTTGGGCTCGGACATGTGAGAGATGAGAGCACGTGGGAACAGGGCAGGGAAGCCCAGTGCTCATAGCCCTCTCTGCAGAGGCCTCCCGGAGTCTGTGCAGTGGCCGGGGAGACCGCACGGACACCCCAAAGTTGCCAGACTCCTCCACAGGTCGCAGTGGTTTATTTTCAGCCCAGGGTCTTTGTGCTGGCGCTGCACTTCCAGCACGTCCCTGCGCCATGGGGCAGGCTGCCCCCCCCAGCCGCTCGCCCCACAGGGGCCACATCCCACCACCACAAGTTCGGGGCCAGTCCTGCTGGGGGGGTGTTTGCTCCCGGCTCACGCCAGGACCTGCTGAGCATCTGCGAGAGTCTCAGCTTCACGCCGTCGCCTGTCAACACTTTGCTTGGTGCTCGTCCCGGCTCTACTGGCCGGGGAAATTCCAGCTTCTCGTGACAGTGGGGTTTTTTTACCCTTTCGGCTGAATTTCTGCTGTTCTCCCCACGCTGTCCCTTCCTGCCACCCAGCTGGAGCTTCACCCTCCCCAGGAGCGTGGGCAGCTCAGTGTGCTCACGGCGGGCATCATAGTTGCCCCTCTGCATCTTCCAGCACTGCCGTTCCTGCCCACAGGCGCTCATCACCACGGAGTGGCTCCGATGGGGCTCTGCTCACGAGTCCTGTGTACAAGGAGGAGGAAAATGCCCTTCCCCGGGCCTGCCTTTCCCTGACGGTGCTTGACTTGGCTCCCTGAAACGCCGCTTTTCCCTCGCCTGCCCCTTGGGGTGGAAGCCCAAGCCCTGAGCTCCCTGCAGCGCAGCTCCCCCAGAATAAGCTAGTTGTGATTTGTCCTTTGATGCTTTCGCTCGTGCTTTTCGCGCCACCGGATGAACCCGGTAGCGATGTGTTTCGAAGCCTCGGGCTGTGCTTTGCTGCTTGTGACCCCCCCACCCCCCTGCCCCGTCTCCCCCCAAATCAGCCACGCACCCGCGTCCCGTGGGTGCAACGAGGCCGTTCCTGCTCTCCGAGGAACAGCTCGGGGCTTGTCACTCTGTGTCCCAGCTCGGGATGCTCCGTGCTTCCCCCCACCGAGGGCTCTGGTGGGGGCTTTGTGCTCGGAGAGGACGTGGTGGCTGCGTGAGCGCTCCTGAGATTTTTTAGTTCCTAGGTATATGCAATAATAAATAACTTGCCACTTCAGCTGTTCGTTACCAGCAGTAGTTCTCTATGCTCTTTCTGTTGATGTTTACTAATGTAAACCCAGTATTTGTTACTGTAAGAGGATTTTTTTTGTACTGTACTTTAAAAAAAGCCCACAAAAAAAAAAAAAAAAGGAAAAAAAGAAATAAACAGAATTAATGAAATGGCTGCGGGGATTTCTGTGGGAGGGGTGTTACGCAGGGGCAGCGGAGGCGGGAGGGTGGTGGGGCTGGGTGCAGGATGTGACCCATTGCCCAAACGACGCTGGGCCGTGCCAGGGCTCTGTTCCCTGGGCTCACCAGCTGGGCAAGCGAGGAGGCGGCATCCGAGCCCAAAGGGGTGAGAAACGGATGGAAACAGCGGCTATAAACAGCGGGGGAAGTACAAAGTTCTTCCACGCTCAGCCCTAGAAATGAGCCCAGGGGTTATTTTGGGCAGCACCCCCTGCCCCCACCCGGCACTGCCAGCCTGGGGGTGCTTCGGCCCCTATGCCCAGCCAAGGGGGGGCTCGGCAGACCGCGGCGGGGGTCCGACACGGAGACACCCCCCTGCCTGTTTGGGAGACGCCGAGCGTGGGCTGCTCAGAGCTGGGTTTCTGTCGACAA